GGCAGATGCAGGAGTTTTGAAAAAAAAAAGAAATTTCGGTCTTCTAACATTTCAAAAATGTAAAGAAATAGATGAATTTTAATTATAACTTATAATAATCAAAGCGATTGACGATGATCGAATAAACATAAATTAAGATTACAACATCGGCGAATGTCGTAAAGTTTCATTTTAATCTCAAAAATTGGTAGAAATGGATAAATGGAGGTTCTGAAGATCACAAATGAAGTGTGGGTTGAACTTTGAAAAATGAAATGAAAGATTGAATAGTTAGGATGTTTGTGAGTTTCTTCAACAGAAACAAAAAAAATAAGTCAAAACGCCCTGAGGCTATCAGTGCTTACAAGATGTGTGTTGTGTAATGAAGGAGGAAAGAGAAAAGAAGAAAAAGTGAAAGAGGGAAAAAGGGAGATTGAGAGAGAGAGGGTGGGAGATGATCACAGAGAGAATAAAAGAGAGAGGGAAATGAAGATAAAAAGAAAGAAAAATATGAAGGAAACTTCGGAGAAAAATGATTTTTTGCTTTCCTTCCCAAGAATATGACAACATTGAAGCATCTTTAGCACAAAACTGATTGCCATATGAAGCTCATATAAAATACCCTGGGGGGATATACGAGACGACAACTAAAGATGTTTACAAACCAAAAATGACCAAAAACACATATCATTGCTTATGACTCACAAAATATTTTAAAATTAGAATATTGTAAGAGAGCGTGTAGGGTGGGGGGGAGACACGTGAAATTTGCGTGGGAAAACGTATTGCCAGCTCATTATTTTCATTTTTCAGATAGTGTATGACGTTAGACCGGTTGTTATGTTATTGTAGGTGCTATGTAAAGCTACCGTTACGACTTTATTAAGCTTTTCGTAATTATTACCAAAACATAGCATATAAGCTGTGTTGATTTACCCGTTAAGATACAAATCGTCGTTCAGTCTTCTTTCATTGCCTTCTACCTGTATAAGTTCAAGTAAATTGTATGTTCTTATGTAAATAAAGATGAAATTTATATTAATATTGATGTTTATTTGATTGTTTAGTACAATTTCATTGTTTGAATCATCTATTGAGAATGGTCTTAAAAGGAAATAAAAATATTCATCGCTATCATTCATTGAAGAATTTTATATTTTCATTCTAATGAGCACATGTAGATGTGTGGTCTGAAGATGTTGTCAGTTGTGTTTGTCCATTGCGCTTTAACATACGAAAATCACTTGACAAGAAGAATTTGTGTTTATATGATAAATCAAAGGAACATTCTTACAAAAAAATTAAAGTTATGGTATCATATACTATACATATAGTTAATATACATATTATTTATGTGTTTATATGATTAGAATCTATTTGGTCATGCATGCTAAGAACAAGAGAAGGAAAATTATTTGCCAACAAATCGTTTTGATGACAGATGAGAATAATGTAAATACAGCGTCTGAAAGTAAGTCAAAGACATGAAATATATTCGCTCTTATTAATCTCCAAATATGGTTGACTCATGCGAGTGATGTGTTACTTCTTCTCCTTCTTCTTGATCTCCTTACTATGTCGCCTTCTTCTTCATCTTAACATCTACACATCTTCCTCATCATATTCTTAAAATACTTTTCTAACTAGCTTTTCGTTTACATTGTGCCATCCACTCATCACCTTCATCTTCGTGACTTCATAACAAGCATAGTCAAAATGATTCATTATGAATCATATCTTCTTCTTTCATCCTCCACCCACCTAGTTCCTCCTCCTACTATTTCTTCATTCCAGCTTTAATAATCCTTATACAGAGTTTTGTCCTTGTACAGCCTGCTCACCTCTCAGTGCCTATATGTCTCTGGTCAAAGTCGTTTGTCTCAACTCTTCCACAATCAAGACCTTTCGATAATTACCTCAATTTATAATAATTTGCATATTCTAACAGTTTTCTTCTTCTTGTTCTTCTTCTCAGACTCATTCTTCTGCAATCTCTTTTTCAATCCGAATATGTTGTCAAACAAGAAATATCTCGAACAAACTTTTTTTTTCCTCAAATCTTTCAATCCAATCCACACATCGAATTGACCGCACCCAGTTATATTTCACTCAACTCAAAACTCTATTTTCTTTCCTTTTTTTTTCTTCTTAAATTACAAATAATTTGTCGTTTGTAAACTGTCATATTGACATTCTACTTATCCAATACTTTTTACATTTCCGCTTTGTTTCAACTTCATTTGAAGTTTATTTATAACTCTCTATAGTTAACTATACTCATATAAATCAAATTATTTATCTTCATAGCAGCAGATGCATGAGGATGTTTGCTTTATGTTCAGGTCATACAAAAATACAATATGAACTCTCTTCCTACCAATGAAACAGATTTGTACTCAATTGGCCTTATCCACAAAAATATTATCTGAGAAGCATTTTATAAGAAAGAGAGAGAGAGTAAACCAAAGAGTGAGAGAGAGAAAGAGAAAAATAGAAAAAAGGAATAACTATAAATGAAGGAAGAGAAAGAGAGAAAGAGAGATTGGAAAGGAGGGAAACAACCCAACAAACTCATGTTGACATCTTCATTCACAACGATTCGCCTCCTCGTTTAATGATATTTGCCAAATAAATCTGATGGAAAGGTATTTATTACGATCATTCAGACATTTCGAACATAAAATTATCGTAATATCAAGTAGTTTCTTACATTTGTCCCAAAAAGCTTTTGTCCGCCTTAATCAACTGACCAAACATAGAGCAAATGTCTTTTGATAGTAAAACAAATAAAAAAATCCTTTTTTCCAGCTTTTCTTCTTCGTCGTCGTTATGTTTTTATAAGAATATAAGAAGATCATCTAGGTTGCTTAACCACAAAAAAAAGAAGATGATTGACTGTTCTAGATCTATAAAGATAGTAAGAGTGAGAGAGATAGAGAGAAGTGAGGAAGAGAAAGGTGAGAAGCCTAAGCTACAAGCTGCTCTTATAGTCATTGTTTCTTCTTCTCCCCCTTACATATCGTACAGTTCTGTTCTGTCTTTTCATTCTTCCAGCCTCTCTGAGCAATAGCTCTCTAACTCTTCTCACTTTTATTTCTCTCTATCTCTCATATTTTCTCTTTAATATCGTTTTCTCTGAGCGATTAGCAAAAAAAGCGAAAAAAACGTTTTTCTCTTATTCTGTATTCAACCGTTCCACACGTCGTCACTTTCGTAAATGAATCATAGTTACGTTTGCTTAACCCACGGTTTTTCGTGGAGCTCATTTGCATAAACGTGAAATTGACTTTAAAAACGTGATTTAATCTATCTGATGAAGTTTTTTATGAAGTTTAATCGGTGAAGCATAAAGAATTAGTCAGATATTAACATTTTCATTAAAATTCTTCTTCTGTTTGATTCCGCTAAAGGTCAGACAGTCTGTCATTCGTATGAAAGACGAAATTTGAATAAAAACAAATAAGAAACTAAAAACTTCTTCTTTTCCTTCTTTTTTTTTCTGTACAAAAGAAGAACGTAAAAGAACCAAAACAAAAGAACATCTGATGTGTATATGTGCGTATGCATTGCCTTGAGGCTATCTGAATCATGCTCAGGGTCCATCATTTCATTGTTCAAATTTTATATTTAAAATAAAGATATATGTATATGATAGGAACTGCTCTAATCATTCAAATTACAACTGATTTTCCATTGCTTTTGCTATTCTCGTTTGGATTTTTCTATTGAAAATCAGGGTCATTTGATATTTACCTTATGAGCAAGATAAGATTGTTCTGTATTTGTATACAAATGGTTTATTACTTGTTATCAATTAATCATCTAAGCAGGTAAATAAGCTTTTCCTCTTTTATTTTCCCTCTATCTCTCTTTCTATTTATGTCTCTCATCTCTCTTTGAAGATTGAGGAGGGATATCATTTGCTAAAACACAAATGGATTCATGATGACCTATGCCCCCCCCTCCCTTCTTTCCATCCTTCTTTTATTTGTTCTGTACGTTAGATCATCATCTTTCCTTAGGTCTTCCTCTATTTCTCTTCCTAAGAGCATGACGTCACATTCATCTTACCTCTTAGTTCCAAAAAGCTTTTTTTATCTTTCGTTTTTCATCCTTCTTGTCAAAACGTGCAATATGTGAACTTACGAGTCTGTATTGACCTCAGACGACCTTTTTCCCTCATTTTTCAGCAAACAGAAGTTGTTGTTTTGGCATCGACCCGTATTCCTTTTATTAAGCTTTTCTTCTGTATTGACCACATATATGTAATTTCCCAATACATACCATTTTCTCACAAAAAAATGATGACGAAAAACGATTTTTAATGTTCTTTTTTTCCATATCTCTTGACTAGCATTGCAATCCATAGTACTTCTGCTCCAAAATCAAAATGCTACAAGAGATGTAATGTTCTCCAAAATTATTTTTCTATTCTTTGCTTTCGTTTCTTTTCTTTCATCCTTCTTTCTCATGTTGCAACAAACTTGTTAACGACAGCCTTTTCCATAAGAGGAAATGAAAGAGTAAGAGATTGAAAACGGTCTGATGTTTGTCATCGATGTGTATGAATCATTTTTGAGTATCGAAATATGCTTTTACCTCCTACGCTTTGTCATTTTGCTTTCCTTTTAAGGAGAAAAACTATTCCAGATATTCTCTCACACACACATAGACATCTTATCAAAAGACTTCCTTTCAATATGCAAATTATTCACACATTTTCCCGACCGGAAATCTTTGTATACCTTAACTTAATCTTTAACTATCTTTCTTCATCTTTCCTCTCTTTCATTTAACGAAAGATGTAAAAAAATAAAAATATTGTACAATTCTTTCTTTCTCCTTCTTTGGTCACACCCTCTCCTCTATCAGAATGCTTAAACGATCTATTTACATTCTATCTGATAACAAAAAGCAATCAATATACATTTTCTTTTCTCAAAACATTCAAATTTGACGTATTTTTTCTTTTCATATTTAATTAATTAATTTATTCATTTTTTACTTGCTTTCAGGGCAATATGATCATTCGGATAGTTCTTGCCTTGAGCTTAATGGCTCTTGCCATTGCTCAATATCAACCCCAAGGGAACTCAAACGGACGAAGTAACAATCAATACGGATCAATGAATCAGCAGTATCAGCAACCACAAATGAATAATAATAATAATAATAACAACAATAATTATAATAACAATAATTATAATGGAAGAGCGGATCAGCAACAGCAACAGCAACAACAGCATCAACAAGTTCAACAACAGCAACTCAATTATAACAGTAACCAACGATCCGTTTTGAACCAAGTCCTAACTCCTTATAATCAAACCTCCGTAAGCCATTAGTCTCTCTATTTCACAATATTTCTTATTTTTTTCAGAAATTGGATAATAGTAATTCAGGAGTTACAATTCAATTTCAACTTCGGTCTTACAATGATCCTAACTCAGCTCTGCCTAATGGAGCAACTTGCGTTTGTCCATCCGGATTCAAATGCTCATATCTGAACGTGGATCCATTTTGTAACTTTGGTTTCTCATTCATCGTTAGTTCTCCAGAGTAAGCCATTCTTGCATATCTCGTTCTTATGTTTGTTTTAAGTGCATCTGTGAGATACATTTCAACTGGATTCTTTACTCTAGTAAACGGTCAATTACCTCCAGCCAATGGTATTCTTAATGGAAACCGATGGGATGAGAACTACGTTCTTCAGCTTCCCTCCAAGCCTGTAAGAACACAAATAACATGACTTTTCAAAATTTGTTTTGACATTGTTTTAGTCAGCAATCGACGTGATGGTTCATCATTTGGGTGCTGTGATAAATCAAGCTGATGGAACTCCAATTCATATTGATACAGTAACACATGTAGATGCTTTTGTTGTTCCTCTGAACAATGTCTTACCTGCTGTTAATGGTGGAGTGCAGAGTATGAACCAACAATCAAACTATGATGGAAAACTCTTGGGCACAAAGTATTCTAATTTTTTCTCTGATAAAATCCATTTCATCGTTTTAAAGATTGGGTTTGTCTTTCTCAATTGCTTGCACCGGAAGTCTTATTGGACCTAACTGTGATATGAGTTGTCAAACTTCTCACATCAACTCGAACGTTGCTGCTTGTCGATCGAACACTACATCATTCTACAGTGTTTGTACCTACAGCGGAAACGGACAGGTGAGTATTAAATAGAAATTTTTGAGTTGAATCTTTCGAAAAAAAAACTTGCTTAATTATATGTCAATTCCTTACAGGTTGACAACTGCAAGCCTTGTCCATGGGGAATCAGAGAAAACACCTACTGCCAAACAGAAGATGGTAATGTGCTGGATCCCAAGCATGCTGGAGTGGTTGATACATCGTTCAAAACTGCCACCATCATTCTGGGAGTTATCTGCGGAATTCTTTTGATTCTCTTCATCCTGGCCTTGCTCCTTGCCTGTATTTTGTAAGTCTTTGTTTTATTTATATTAAAACTTCAAGTTTTAAAATAATTAAAAACAAAACAACAAGATTAAATGAAAATCAATTTAGTTATCGTGAAGAAGTTCTGTATGAACTTCGAAATGTTATGTTGGAGTATGTTTTTGTTTGAGTGTTAAAAGTAATTTCACGATCTCTCTTGCACAACTAACCCGTTAATAGACTGCTCTTGTTTGTCTTTTAAACAAAAAATATATTTTCTTAAACAACATTTTATCTTTTCTCTTTTCTTAGAAGACGACGTCAGCCGGAAGACAAAGAAATGTACACAGCAAGTTCGCAACCATTAATCAAAGTAAGAAACATCAGATCTTGAGCCATTCAATAGGAATCATATTGTTTTAGGCCGGATATCCAATAGGAAATGATATGCCGACAGCTCAACCAAGATCACAACCACCTAGCTTGGATACAAGACCAATGAGTTAGTTATTGTTAATATATAAAATACATAGTTAAATGATATTCTGAGTAGTTCCATCGCCTCTTCAGACCCCTTCCAAACAAAGACGACGACTGTATGAGTGAGTATATGCACACAAAAAATTCTTTTTTTTTCTCATTTTCATCTTCATCATCTTAATTAGTCTTTGCGTGTGTGCATATATCCCTTTTAAAACAAAATAAAACCCACCCTCTCCTTATCAACAAAAAAAACTTTTTTTTCTGTTTAACAACTCATCCCATCAACATATCGGCTCAATTTCAGAATCAGCACTACGTCGTCCGATGGTTCCTACTCAACAGCAGCAGAATTCTACATTAAATGATACTCGGGATACAAGTTTCAGTAATGAAGTACCAATGAGGCCAAGTAGAAGTCAAGTTGTCTAAATATGGCTAAATATTTATAATAATCTTATAAGTATTGTGATAAAGTACTATATCAGTACGATATATAACCCACACCTCCCCCGATGTTCACACATGATTGCCAGGCGTCAACATTTTGTTTGTTTGTTCTCTTTCATATATTCCAAACAGTTATCTATATTTTCCTAAAAATTTTATAATCTCCTCAATATAGCTTAAGCAGAGTTAGATGCAACCCAAGATAAATCATATCAATTGTGTATAAAAAAAATTATTTTTCTTCATTTCTTTGCTACAACATCTTCATCATCCATATTTGAATATGAAAAACATGACGCAAGATTTCCTGTGATTGTTTAGGCGCCTTTATATTTCGTTTTTCATCACACATTTTGTTATCATAATTTGCTCCTACATATATGATCTTCTATTATATTAAAAAAATGTTATTATTTAATAAAAACATAAAATTAAGTACATAATTATGATTGTGACAAATGAACGATGAATTGATGAATAGTTACAGAGATCTTTGAAGCAAATGCAAACTCTGCCGATTATGGGCATTCTAAAGCAACCTTCCTGAAGATAATCTATACTCATAGTTATACCATATAATCAACTAACAGAATTGAAATCAGCAACGTAGAAACATCCTTTCCAGCTTACACTCTCAACGCTACCTGTAACCGCTCTCGATCCAGCACTCGATGAACGATATCTTGTAACACAAGCAACTTTCAATATACCAGAAGGATTGAATCGGCATATATCTATATATTATAAATTCTAAGTAGATTTGCATTATTCTACCTGTTTGGAAGTTTTGATCGTAGCACTTCAATGATCTCACCTTTTGCAATGTGAGTAAAAACAGAAGAGTCGGCAAAAATCTGAAATGCATGTCTGACAGCAACTGGTCAGTCACACTATCTGACCTAATGATTAAATTTTGATAGACGGAAATGTTTTCGCAAAAAATGACAGTGTCTTACATCTTTTCAATAAAATTTTCAAGCATCTAATCAATCTTAAACAAGTGAATTATGAGTTTGTCATTAATATCAGCACACAACTCTAACTGTTTTAAAACTTTTCAACATTTGAACATTTACGCAGAGATAAGAGTTTACTTTCACACTATTAACTTATATTTAACATTGCTAACAGACGTTCAAATATACAAATGAGATTCATTCCGCCGGAAACATGAAACTGCTTCCTCTTGTTTAGGTTTGCACCTTTATCTTTCCTTTCTTCATCATCCGAAAGTACTCAAAGAGCCGTTCATCATTAACATCTATCTGATGTGGCTATACTTTGGCTGTTCGGATCAGAACTCAATGTACTGTTGTTACATAGATCTTGGTAGCAAAGGCAAACTTTGGCTTTAATAAATAATGAATCTGTTTTGAAGCGGCCTTTCTGAAGATACTCTATATTAACAGTTATATCATATAATCAACTAACGGAAAGAACTCTGGGAAGGTAGAGACATCCACTCCAGCTTATACTCTCAACGCTACCTGCGTTCGTACCCTTTCCAGTTCTAGATTCATCATCTCTATACTTTGTAAAGCAAGTAGCTCTGAACCATATCCAGGGATTGAATCGGCATATATCTATATATAAATACAATATAAACTCTAAATGTAAAGATTCACTTTATCTTACCTTCTTTCCCTTTTGCGTCAAAGCACCTCAATGTTTGCACCCCATACAGTGTTAGCAAGAGCAAAAGAGTTGGTAGAGATCCGAAATGCATGACTGAAACGAGTGGCCACTCATTATCTGACCTAGTGATTAAAATTTGATAGAGAGTTGTATTTTTTTTCAAAAATCACTATGTCCTTCAATTAATGAGCTTTCCATGTGGTATTACTCTTTGATCATTTAAGTGTACACAGATAGTGTTTCAAATTATCAATTCTCATGTTGCCAATTCTGGGATGTTTCAGCTGACTCATGAAACCGGAACAGTTATAGTAGGAAGTTGATAGCTGCATGAATCCTGAACCAGCGTAGGTGATGTCGTTTTATTCACTCAATCACCTGCTTTTTATCACGTTCATGTGAATGCACCCCACGCTGAGTTCATCTACTATCGATGTTTGAATCATCCGTTGAGAACCGTCTTTTATAATCTTTCTGTCGGTTTGAGTCCGAAACATTACAAGGTTTCCATACATTTGAGAAAACATTGTAAACGGCTATGTTTACTTATACAGATGCAGTTCTTAAACCAATTTCACCCTCATAGACTTCACTGAAATAAATCAGAGATCAATTTACTCAGAGGAAAAGCTCATTCCTCACGAAATTCCTGAGAAATGGAGTTCGAACATCTTGTCTGGACGATGCTTTAACTATTAACTAGCACATGTGATCTACGGTTTTCTGTTTGGCTAGTTAAAAGTTCTCCAAATAAAGTCTTCACTAGATTCTACTCGGACACTTTCAAAACGATTTCTTCTCACTGAAGCTTTCGGATGAAGAAGTATTAAAGACGAATGCATTTGATTAGCTTTATCTGTCTTATTTGACATACAAATTGCGACAAATTATTTTTCCACTGATTCGAATTTTCCACGTGAGTGCGAGAAAATCACGTGAAAAGCATTTCATTTTGCATTATATTAGATTCAGAGAGCGGTTGTATCTACTTTGACAATCTGTAAGACGACAATGATTAATGTGGTTTTCAATTAACTAAAGCTCTATTAATAATACTTCTATTGTAATTTAAATACTAAACACTTTCAAGAAGATACTTGAAATATCTTTGGAAGGTAAGTTGACAAACGGTTCAAATATCTAATAAAACAAACTTGCAACATAAAACGTTTTAAATTTTATTTTGCAAAAAAAAAAAAGATTTTCGAAATTTTTTTTCTTTCCTAGACTAAGGCTTTATGCACAGGCTTTTCTAGTGAAATTTCAATCTTACACGTAGCTGGCTTCCAAGCATTTAAGCTTTTTCTTTGTTCCGTTCGAACATTGTCCTTCTTGTGTGATTAAAGGCGCGTTTTTTTAGTGAACTTTTCTTTTTTTACTTAAGTCATATTGCTTTGACGTCATCAGGCATGTATGTATGGTATCATTAAAAGATGGCTTTCATCTGAGAAAACAAAAAAAAAGTAAAATTTGTTGGTTATTGAATAAATTTGAGGAGCTTTAGCCATTTTGATGTCACAAATTGTGTGCCAAAACATGGAAAAATCGTTTTGGTTGTTTGACCTCTCATTTCCTTTCCAAGCTTTCTCTCATTTCCCCAAACTCTTTAGGGTGATGTTTAATTAAACAAGCTGCTATCAACCTTAAAATGTAAAGTGATAGATTAAACGAAAACTCAATAAAGTTTTGAGAATTAAAGAAGAGGAGGAGCAGACAACTTGCGTCTGATTCAAACTTGCCTCCAGCAGATTCATTGTCTCAAAAAGCCTTGTCGGCACTTTCATCTATTCTGCCCTTTTCCTTCTAACCAATATTAGTCAGCCAAACCTTCGAACTCATCTCAAATTTCCTACCACCATCAGCCTAACCTTCAACCCTCCTTCGGCTCTATCTTTCTCTTTCTATCTCTTTATCTCTCTCTGTCTCTCCGTTTTCTCCCTTTTTAGCGCTCAAAATAATTTGCCGCTTGAATGTAACTTCTTTCTATGTGTTTGAGCTTTGTCTCATCATTCTCATTCCCGTCCTCAGTCTGAAAATTCATTTTCGTCTTTTTTCGAGGAAAATTTGTTTTTTTTTCCTTCGTCTTTCTTATGCCTGTTTTATAAGGATAGAAGGCCATTTTTCATTTCGTTGTATTGCCATTCGATGTGCATCTTTGAGGATTCCTTGCCGGATTAAACTATCATTCTTTGAAGTTCTTTTTCGTTTCAAAACCTTTCTTTTACTATTATAAGTTGCATTCTTTTTCAGACTTCATATGGATTGGTATAATTTTTCTGCTGAAGAGAAAGAGAAACTATTGAAATCATGGGCCATTTTGGAACCAAACAAGCAAAACCTCGGATGTGATATCTACGGAATGATTTTCAATCAGGTTAGTAGTACTTCTTTCTAAATCATTCTTAATCTTTTTTTTTCTTCTATTTGAAGTGTCCGGAAATTCGGAGACTTTTTCCCAAAATGAAGTTTCGAGAAGATGGACGAACAGACAAAAAACAAAATGAGTTCAGCTTCCAAGCTTTACGATTCATTCAGGTCATTCTATAGAGAATTCATCAGTTATCTTCTCAAACTTGATCTTTTAGGTAATTGAATCAGCCGTCACAAATATTGATCGCTTACAAAACCTTGAGCCAATTCTGGATAATCTGGGAAAAAGACATGGAAAATTGGAATTATCGGGGAAATTCAGGTAGTCTATGAGAAATCGTATGATCATATCTTTCAATTCAGAAGCTATTATTGGTCAACGTTTCTCGAATGTACTATTTATCAAATGAGAAAGTGTTTATCCAGTACTAGGAAGTTCCCTGATTCAGAAGTAGATGAAGCAATTATTCAATGGAGAAATCTATTGAGAGGTGTTATGAAGGCTATCAAGGTATTCATGATTCTGAGAATAATGACAAGAAAATCATTTTCAGAAAGGATATTATGAGAATATTTGTCATCGGCTATCGAAAATGTCTGTAGATCATACAAACAATCGGAAAACGTCTGTCTTATCAATAGGACAATCGTCTTCGTCGTCATTTCCTGTATGAGACACAGTCTTGATTTTTGATATTATTTAAATAACCTTTTTATAGGAGAATTACGATAGTTCATAACTCAAGTTGATCAACGTGGGTCTTATTCTTTAAAGCATCATTCCTCTCAAGAATCTCTCTCTCTCTCTCTCTCTCTCTCTCTCTCAGTTTCTCTCAAGAGTGTATCTCTCACTCTCTATATTGCTCTCCCTCCTAATACTGCAGGAAATTAAAAGTTCAATGAAACTTTGTGCTAATGGCTATTTTTATGTTGCTAACGTTTTAATTCATTAAAATGAATTGTTATTCTATTTGAATAAAAATTTTTTGGCTTTAAAACATTGAACAAGTGTCGTTGAAATAATTTTTCTAATTAAAAACTTTGTCTTTCAAAGATCATGCTGCTTATTCAAATTAAAAAGGTTTTTATTAAAACTTTAATTTGAATGAGAAGTACTTTGAAATGAGAAAGGGGAAAGCTTAAGGCTCAAGCACACAAACACAACCGCTCTTAGACATCTATAACGATCAAAATGAGATTGAAACGATTGAGAGTATAGTTAGTTACGTGGAAATCCACACTTTCATAACTATTACAATGAAATATGTATTTCAACGCTAAATAATTCAATTGACAACAACGTGATAATCAATCCAAAAAAGGAATGAAGAAATAGTGAGCTTAAAAGCGGTTGATTGATAAGATAAACGAGAGAATCTTCATTTCCAAACAAAAACCTTTGATTTACATTGCCAATTTCAACATTCTCTAAACAAATGTTTCGCAGACAAAAAAAAATCTTCGTTTATATATAGTTGATGATTCATCTTAATCATGAGCTCTACAAAAAAGAAGAAGAATGAGTAATGAAGAGAGAGATAGAGAGAGAGAATAAGTTGATTGTTGTGAGGAGATTGAGAGAAACAGAAAGAGAGAGAAAGAGAGAGAGAGAGAGTGAGAAATTGAGAAGATGTTTACTTAAAACGTTCATTTGAAATCGATATGTGAGACTGTCGTTCATTTTTTCCATTTTGTCCTTTATAAACAAAAAGATTTTGATAATCAGTCAGTTGAATACTTCAAAACGAACATGTTCAAGTCTTCTCTTATAATATTTCTATTCTGTGTCAGCCTTTTAACTTCAGAAGTAATGTCTTCTGGAGCATCGAATCAAATGAACATCAACGACAATCAACAACAGCCATCGAATGTAAGTTTTTGACATTAGACAAAAGGAATATCAACCATTTTCTGATTCTTTTTCTACTTCTTTTTATCATATACGTCATTTGTGATAAAAAGGCTTTTATCATTGCCAAGCTATTAATGATTAGAATCAGAGGAAATCACCGTATTGCATATCAACAAGTCAAAGAACAGATTTATAAATATATATATAGCTTTAATACTTTTTTTTAACAAATAAAAAAAGTTATGTTAATCAGGGTCCAGCACAAATGCCTGGAAAGAATATGATTGGAAGCTCTCGTGTACGTGGACAACATCATGGTACAGCTGTCAATCAACAACGTGATAATATTGCTCATATGAAGCAAGAGCATCAATCTGATAGAACTCAATAACTTATTGATTGTATAATCTAATGTGAATGAATAAATGATTCTGCTGTACTTCGTTAGCTTTCTCACTTCCAATCTTCTCATTCAATCGACTTATACTATCAACGATTCGCATGATTAAATTTTCAAATATTTGTAAAAGGAATGAATGTGGGAGGAAATGTTCAAAATCATGAGTCACATGAAACTCTAACTCACTCTATCACCGAGATGATAAGACTTAACGCAGAGGCTTTATAAAGGAAAGAAACACTTTCAGTTTCCAACAGATTGCCTGTCGTCTCCGAAAAGAATGTCCGTCATTAGATTCCCAGTGAGTTTGAGTTTGATGAATTATAATAGTTAATGACTATAATTTCAGCCAATCCCCTTCGAAACTCCCATCTACAAGGGAATGAACCATGATGCCGTCATCACCATTAATGGAGATGTATTCCCCGGACATCAACAGTATGTCCCACTTAAGCTCTATATGTTAATATCTAATTAAATTTTCAGCGGATTCGTTGTTGAGCTCGTAACCAGCGATGGAATTGCCTTCCACATGTCCAACCGTATGTCTGTCGGAGGTGGAGAACATACCATTGTCCTCAACACTCAAAGACACGGAAAGTAAGATATTGCTTGTTGAAATCGCATTGTATACAATGATTCTAGGTGGGAGAAGGAAGAGCGTCACAGCCAATGCTTCCACTTCGGACGACCATTCCAATTGGAACTTATTGCCCACCACAAACACTTGTCCGTCTACGTCGGAGGACACCACGTTTGTGACTTCCATATTCGCCACTCCAACGACTTGCACCACGTCCGTTCTCTTGTGATCCGCGGAGATGTCAGAGTTTCTGAAGTCCAATTGAGCCGTTTCCACCACTAGATTAATTGATGTCTAGAGTTCTATATTTGAGAGTATTATAATAAAGATTAAATTTCAACTATTTGAGTTTACTGATTTGCATTTTACAAAGTAACCGACCGGAAAGCGGTGGTGTAAACGATTAAAATGATAAGATGCGAAAAATGACGCTTCAGAATATGCAAACTTCAAAAGAACGTGTATATGACGTGGTACCTCAATGTTTCATTTTTCAATTAATTGCAGTAAAACACGGTTGTGTTGATAAGATACATAGACTACGCTTCCTGTATATGAGCAATAAAGCCAATGAAGTATCGTGTTATCACCCTCAACACACATTTTTGAACTGAACTAAGCAAAAAAGCTTAGTTTTCAAAACCATCAGATAGCTCAAGACTATGAGAGTGACGTCATTTTATTATATATTTGCTTTATGCAAATGTAGCGTTAAAACCTCTTTAACAATAATTTCTTAAATCGTTAAGACGTTTATTTGATAAAGTATATGCGTCATTTTTCTTATAGAGGAAATAAAGAAAGTGGGAGGAGATTTTCTAAAGTTCGTGATTCATCGGTTCAATCAGAATCTTCCAGTGATAAGAATCGAATCTTCTCCCTTTATAAGGCTTAGATATTTCTTTTTCCTTGTCATTCTACGGCAAGCCAATTCTTAAACATACTTAGAAACATATCTAATATATTATCACAATATCTGTAAGCCATGCATATTATTGAATATCCAGTAAGTTAGATTTCATCATACCTTTCTACTTCTTCAAGTTTTAACAATGTTTGTTACAATTTCTTATTACAGCCAATCCCTATGGAAACTCCTATCTATGGCGGTATGAACAATGATGCTCGAATTGATATTCATGGAGAACCTTACCAAGGATTCAACAAGTGAGATAATTTTTCTTTCTTTTTTCTTTTCTTCCGACATTGCTCTCAAACTTCTGCTCCGTCGGCGATATGAGCAAATAGAGAAAACAGATTATTTTCTGTCATAAAAGGTTTTCTATCTTTAACTCTGATATAAAGTTTTGAAATCAAAGAAAGAAATCGATAGATCTTTTTAAAAAAATATAATTTTCAGCGGATTCTCTCTTGAGCTTTTGACTGGAGATGGAATCGCTTTACACATGTCAAACCGTATGTCTAACGGATTTGGAGAAAATACTATTGTCCTTAACACAATGAAACATGGACAGTAAGCCTCTTATCCTTTTTATCGTTAATTCAAAAATTGATTTAAGCTGGGAGCATGAAGAACGTCACTGCCAAGTTTTCCGTTTCAATCATCACTTCCACCTCTCCATCACCCGCCATCACAATCATTTCTCGATCCATGTCAACGGAGATCACTTATGCAAATTCCATATTCGTCATCATCATGACATTCATCATATCCGTGCTCTTTCCGTCCGAGGAGATGTGAGAGTTTCAAAAATTCATTTTGAGCACTTCCATGGACACAATGGAGGAGGAATAGCTATTGGAGGAGGAGGAGTTGCCGTTGCTCCAGTTATGGCTCCATCCATCGGAGGTGGAGTTACTGTAGCTCCGATTATTGCTCCACAACCAATCATGCCAGCTCCCATTATTGTAGCTCCTCCACCACGTCAACCAACAATTATTGTTGAACCAATAATTCGACCAAGACCTGTTGTTGTCATAGAAACTGATAGACACCGTCACGGACATCATCATCATCATCATCATCATCACGGCCATCATTAAATCAAATAAAAGCATAAAATAAAAATAATTGTGAAATTAATGTTCGTTGCTCTTAGGAAAACCTTATTGACAATTCGAAAAGAGTTCTTTTTTTTCTTGATTCATCATGACATATTCTTGATTATTCAATAAATTTTTCTCTCTTTAAGCTCATTTGTTTTTCATTTTAATGAATCATACAGTTTATCAGAAAAAAATTTCTAAACCTGCAAGAAAAAAGTTGGGAAATCGAGAAATTGAAAGACTTATTTGATTATCAGTTTCAATCTGATTCATTCTTTCAGCATGAGATAAGAAGTTGTTTGATTTGATTGCTCAGTTCATCTGTACGAAGCTCCACAACGGTTCCTTCCCAAAATGGCAACAAAACTGTTTGAATATCCTGTACGTTTAATTTTTTGATTATTCCAACTGAGAAGCTAGATTTGATGAAATGAATGGCCAACTGTTCAGAATATGCCTTTCTATACTCCATTGCCTGGAGGAGCTAATGACGGATCCGAACTCGTTATTTCGGGAACTCTAACAGCTGGATCAAACAAGTTTGTATTTCATTATATGATGAAATGGATTGAATTTTTGGTTTTATTATTCAGAAGCTTTATTATGAGGAATTTTACCTCGTGATGCAAAAATGATAAGAGTTTTTCATTGATTTTGTGCAAAAAAAGGCAAAAAACTAATATTTCAGTGGATTTGTGATTGAGTATCAATCAAACGAAGGAGTTGCTTTACATTTCAATGTTCGTATGGGATTCTTGGTTGGATCTGAGAGAGCTATCGTATTGAACAATAATCGTGGTGGAAGGTTATAATACATGAATTGAACGTATTTCAAATCCAAACTAATTAGATGGCAAAGCGAACAACGTCAAATGAACATGTTGGTTCCAAACCAGTATATCAGCATGTCAATCCAAACATCCTATGACAAATATAATGTAAGCAAGATTGTTTCTACTTTCGTATTTATCACTTTTTCATCAGATAACGATTAACGGAAGTTACTTATGTTCATTCTTCCATCGTGAAAGCCCTTCGAATGTACACACACTTCAAATTCGAGGCGACATCCGTCTTGATCGTGTCCAATTGACAAACTTTGCCGATTCTAAACGTTTGTCTTATCTATCGAAATACATTGTGTCTCTTCGGAACTCAAAATGTGTCCCATGTGGTGGCCTAGTTACCTGTACACGTTAAAACATGTACACTAGCAGTACACTGTCGCATATACACCAAGTTTAAACAAGTACACCGATCATTATTTCC